TAAACACTAATATCTAGTTACCTAAAATCCTTCAACAGATACACAGTCTTTGTCCCAGTTACGGGAAGACAGGAGAGACCTATTTTTCCACGAACGACGTCTCCCACTAGCAACCCTCCCTGAAGGGCAGCTAGCATCCTTTTCTAACTACCGATATGGAGATTGGCTAATTAGCAGCAACGTCAATTTCCCTTACTTTCCGAACGTAGGATGTCCCTGACGAATCCAGTGATCTCGTGTCCTTAGGCACACCCCGTCATAGTTTCCCTCTGGGGTATCACCGGGACGGAAAGTCATTCTCTCTTGCGGTCTCATCGACAAAAAGGATTAACTCCTTACGGTCAGCGAATATTAACACAGAATCCGACTTAGATTTTGCGAGTGCGTACGACTACCGTCCCGTTGTCCGCGGATTCGTTATTGAATCTAGGATCATTGTCATTAGTCTCTCGAGTATCTAATTACCATGGTTACTTGTCCGGTTCTATGGTAATCGTATTTGCACTAGCCAATGTCTTCTCTATTGCATAACGACGACGTGTAATCCAAACGAAGATTCGCTTTACACCCCTAACCCTATTTCTAATGTACACCCGACATATATATGTATTTTCGACCGTTCGCGGAGAGACGTGGTCGCAAATTCTCATTACGATTCTGCTAATCGATGCCGTGAAATAGTCGTTCCCCTGTTTCGATTAAGATAACAGAAGTAGTTCAATGAATTTAACACTGTATTAATAGGTTAATATAGCTTGTATACTTAACAATAATGAATGTAATCATATAAACGTCACAAATTATTTAGCGATGAATACAGTTAGTATGTTACAGAAATTCGACCCGACTTTACGATATCTCTTGATATATGCGTTACAATAAGTGATCTGGATTTTCTCCGTCTGAACCTCTCTACATATAACGTTTGACTCTTCAGAAGGGATTGATTGCCCTTCGGTCATTCCTTTGTCTTCTCTGGGAGACGATCCCCATTACACTCGGGTCACGCCACCGTTCACGCCTATGATCACGTATGCCGCCTCCTTGCGTGGAAAAAGTAACGGACCGAAATCGATGCTTCTAGAACTCTCTGCTTGATGACAACTATACTCTCGTCGATACATCGTATATCTTCCGTCGGGCAGATAAGACGATCTGCCAGCGACACTGTAGGGCCGCGAGCGACGGTTAGAAATACAGCCTGTGGTAAGTCTCGTGGCGTAATATACTCCCCCCATTGAGAGGGTACCGATCAAGTGATATGGTGGTGTTGATTGTTTCGGAGTCAGCTGGAGCCGTTCTGCACCGAGCAGAACCACTACCGAGTGGTAGTGACAAGTATGTGACGGGTGAGAAGAGAGAGAGAGAGAGTTGCGTTTCGTCCCGGAACTACCGGTGGACTCGTCAGTGAGGCTATGCCCGGTAGTCCCTGCCTTAGACGTAGAGGGAGTCTCGCTAGGTGCGGTATTTGTATCAATCGTCCGTATATTCGACCGCTAGCGAGATAGACAGACTCGTTGTCGTCGTAGCCCTCTAGTATTGGCGGTTGGTACCTGCGGATCGCCCGGGAGGTGTTGCGCCGCGTTGATGCCTCGACCTGTCGGCGTCCTATTGATACCAATCTGCCACAGTACCATGCGCTTGATGCTCCGATCCCTGGTGCTCGTTGCCGCTCGAACGGTAGTCGTCCGTGTTAATGCCAGTATGATACCGTCTGCGCCGGGTTGGATCTTGATGATTCTGCCCAATGGCCATTGCATTGGGGGAACGTTGTCTTCTCTGAGAATGACGATGGTGCCTTCTCGTATACCGTGACTGCCCTTGCTCCATTTGTTTCAGATGTTCAGCTCCTTCAGATACTCTCGATGCCAGCGGCGCCAGAAATGTTGTTTCAATTATTGAATATATTGCAGCTGGGGAGATGATTGGATGGAGTGTCCCTAAAATCTCGTTCTCGAAAACTTGTTAATGAGTCTCCGATGAGGAAGTGACCGGGAGAAAGGACAAGAAAATCGTTTGGGTCTGATGATATTGAAGTCAGCGGACGGGAGTTGAGGATAGACTCGATTTCAATGATGAGTGTGTTGAAGTTTTCGAATGTTAAGAGCTCGTTACCTACGACACGTCTCAGATGTCGTTTGAAGGATTTCACTGCAGCCTCCCACAACCCGTCGAAGTGAGGTGAGGGGAGGAATGAAGCGCCATTCGATCCGTCGGTCGGTTAAAAAGAACTGAACCTTTACCTTATGATCGTCGGACTGCAGGAGGTTTCGGAGCTCTCGTAATTCGTTGTTGGTGCCAACGTTTACTCCGACGCTGTATGTCGTTGGATTACCTACTGCCGTGGTTCGGTCTGTGCTGACCGCGACAACCAGCCCTAGTTCCGGGCGTATTTCATGGATGCTGCCGGCGATAGTGGTCAGAGTTTCGCGCCTGGTATTCTGGGCGGAGGCCAGGACGCGCTGCACGTGCACCGGGAGTCGGCCTTCCCAGAGAGTCCGGATGAGTTCGTCTGATGTTGGCGAGGCTTTCCAGGTCCCGGTAAAATTGAGAAGACGTCCTGTCGTCTAGTTGTTCGCTCTCTATTATTTTACGTGGGCGTCGGACGTCTGACTCGCCCAGCCTCTTAATGAGTTCCTTTTTGAGGAACTCGTACTGCCCGCTCGTCGGTGGATTGGCTAAGATGTAGCAGATGAGTCGCAAATGCGGTTTGTCGATGTTCGCGATGGCGGCATTATTTTTGGCCTCCTCACTCGTAATCCCGATGTGTTTGAACTGTACCTCTAATACATTAAACCACTGCTCTACATCATCCGCCCAGAACGATGGTATGCGGAGCTGAGCGTTTACCGCGTCCACGTTACCGAGCTCGTTTTTGTCGGTACTCGCCGTCTCGAACGCTCTAATACTCGCGGAATTCGAAGCTTATCGGCACTCTCCCGGTTATCTCTATCACTTTTATCACGTCGGTGTCACCAATTTGTAGGAGGTTGAATGATGAGATTACTAGTAGGTAAAATCGTTATTGTATTTAAAATCGTCAATACAATGTCCTAGTCGAGAAACGGTGTGTGTAACGTCATTTGGACGCAGTTTATAATAATCCGTTTGCGATCGCGTCCGTTTATTTATAGTAGTCAGGGGAAGTCGGAAGATTCAAATTTGTCTTTGTTTTACAGTTACATGGCGACGTTGTTTTGCTCAGAGTTTGATTATTCCTACATTATACGTAACCTAACGAACTTCATACTCCGAAGCACAACAACAACATGATTTGAATCGAATTTTAACTCTTGTGCCGCTACAGATTAATGGTACTGGGTTCCACGTCGGCCAGTATTCTTCAGGTTGTTGGAGCCATTCCGGTCCATGTTGCCAAATGGTTGGTCGCAGGAAGTCTTCGGCATGTGTCCTAATTCCAAGTATTCTTGTATTACGGTGTGATAGTCAGCTTCGAATCGTTTGTCTCGTGGGAATTGACGGCAGAGGGATGTGAGTCGCTTCATCGCCATAGCTTTAGAGTATCCAAGCGAAGGAGTTGTTTCGTTAAATGGGAGAACGACAATGTATCGCCCTTTGTTGGTGCGTTGAATGTGATTTCGGAAGTGTTCCTCGCATTGTTGTTCAGCTTCCGAAATAGGGGCGGTCCTTCGTCAATTTCCCAGAAACGGGCGAGGTCCGCCTGTAAAGCCGTCGTGGAGGCGTGAAATGCGTATGCTGACGATTGCGAGGTTGGGCTCCCCCCGATGACCCATCCGAATCGCGTTTTTGCAGACGCAAGTCGGGCCCGTTTGCTTGACTGATATCAAGTTGGCCGACACAGAGTGGTGCTAACGTTGGTCCGGCGCTCAATAATATTTCGATTGGAGCAGGTCTATAGAATCTTGGATCGGCTAGTTGGAGATTCCTAGGTACCTGTATCGTTGAGCGATCCACGGGTTGATCTGGGACCCTAGTCGATATTGTCGGTATGATTAGGAACGTCAAGCTGCGTTCGTATGTTCCGTCAATGGAGGTGATCGTGGCCGTGATGTAGCATTTCGAGGTCGTCGATAACGTGTTGAGTGTTCCGATTGGGTCCGAACATTTCCGTTGGTTGAGTTTTAATGAATTGGCGAGTTTTTGGTGATAAATTTCATGCTAGAGCCGGTGTCTAGCAGAGCTCTAGAACGTAATGGTTCAATTTTATTGTTCAAGATGTTGACCTGCGTTGTGACTAATAAATCGTGCTGTAGTGGTTCGGAAGGAAGCGAGGTCAATGAGTCCGTTTTCTGTGGTTCGGTCCCTAGCAAGGTCGTCTGATGACGTCATTGCTTTCTTTGTCGTTTAGGACTGGTCGATATATTTGATGATATTTGATATATTTCAGAGATATTCGCGGAGACGTTCGGGAAGACGTTCGGGGAGACGTTCGGGGAGACGTTCGGGGAGACGTGGATGCACGTCTCGAAAGATATGACAAACGTGTGTTCGGTGAACTAGGCGAAGATCGACCATTGGATGATCGGCCGCTCGACGATCGACCGCTCGATGTTCGGCTTACACGTGTTCGTAATTTGCTATGACCATGGTCTTGATGCAAATATGTATGGTGTCGCTGCCTAGAGATGCGACATGAACCGGCGGAGCATTGAGAACAAGCGTGTCCCTTGCCTAAACAATTGGTACAGAGTACGCGCTTTTGGCGGTTTCAAGGCGTTCTTTGGGCGACTTTGCTTTGAAGACATCACAATTCCATAATTCGTGTTGTCCTTGGCAGTTCGGACACATCAACGTCTCATGTGTAGTTGTGAATGCGTGATTTCGCAACGCCTTTTTCATCACGGTTGATGCTGAACTTGTTCTATCGCCGTTCGTCCGTGTTTTCAGAAAGTCTACCAAATGTGTATATGACGGCATATTCTTGTCCGGTAATGTGCGTTGCCATTTGCGAATGATGGCTGATGGTAGCTTCGATGTAAATAGTTTGATAAGAACGACCTTTGATGTGACTGGTTCACCAAGTTTCTCTGAAGCTTGGAGATTTACTTTGACCGTCTCGAGAAAATCATCTATGGCTTCGGGCGTCTCTTTAGTTATTTTCGGATAGTCGAAAATCAAGTCCCAGTGGCGCATGCAGACTAGACGGCGGCAGTCGAATTTTTCTTTAAGAACGTCAATAGCGATTGAATAATTTAACTCTGTGATGTCTAACGATTGGATACTTCGCGAGGCCTTTCCAGTCATGGAGGATCGTAGATAATGGAATTTTTGCACGTGTGTAAGTCGCTCGCTTCGATCTATAGTGGATAAGAAGGAGTCATAAATGAATGCCAATTCTCGATGGTACCGTCGAAAGTAGGCAGATGAATTTCCGGTAGTTTAATTGATGTCGGCTCGGCGACATTAAATCGCAGCTTGGCGATTTCGACGACTATGTTTGTGTATCATCCATGAGAGTGTGTATTCGTACTACCAGATCGTAATATGTGTTTGTTAATTCTTATAATAAACTGTATTGTTTCCACGTGTCGTCGAGTAGTGTCGTAGGGGCCGTTAAATAGGCCTTATTCGGTTGGCTAGATTGTTCGTATTCATCGAGTCGTTTCGATAGAGTGGTGAATCGGCCGATTTGAAAGCCTCGTCTCCGATGCAAGGAGGTAATTTTGTCTGTGTTCTCCATTGGTGTAGCAGATTGTGAAGACAATGCAATGAACAAGCTTACCTTGTGGTTGTGAGTTTAAATGTTACTCGTCACCGTGTGTGTCTCGTTTGGCGTGTAAGACGTGTTCTTGCGGAAGTTGACCCCCTAGTTGTTGGCGTGAGGCTGCGTGGATTCACGTGGCGATGTATAGTAGTGGGTGTCACTGGCGTGCACTTTTCACTTGACACGTGATACGGCTTTGAAGACCAAATGATTCGACGGTTACGTGTCCACGCTTTTCACTTGCCACTGAATCCGGCTCAAGGGATCAAAATGTTACGATCGTTCGCGGAGAGACGCGATCGCTAGGAAAACGCGTCAGCGAGAGGCGTAAATTCTCGCTACGATTCTGTTAATCGACGCGTCAGAGAGAGGCGTAAATTCTCGCTACGATTCTGTTAATCGACGCAGCGAAATAGTCACTCCCCTGTTTCGATTAAGATAACAGAGGTGGTTCAATGAATGTAACACTGTATTAACAGGTTAACATATGATAGTATATTTGATAATAATATGATGAACACGCCACAAATTTTTTAACAATGAATATGGTAAATATATTACAGAAAGTTTACTCGACTTTACGATATCTCAATGAATTCGCTAGACTATGCGATTTTGATTTTGCTCGCCAGACCTCTCCATGTGTAACGTTTGGCTCGTCAGAAGGGATTGATTGCCCTGCGATCATTTCTTTGTCTTCTTTGGAAGACGACCCCCACTATGCTCGGGTCACGCCACCGTTCGCGCCTATGATCACGTATGCCGCCTGCTTGTGTGGAAAACGTAACGGACAAAAATCGACGTTTCTAGATCTCGCTGCTTGACGACAACTATGCGCTCGTCGGTACATTGTATATGTTCCGTCGGGCAGATAAGACGATCTGCCTACGACACTGTAGGACCGCGAGCGACGGTTAGAAATACAGCCTGTGGTAAGCCTCGTGGCGTAACACTCTCAAGGTACATTTGCGAAGCGGTTTATTTCATATTTCACTTCTGAGCTTCTTTGTTTCCACCCAGTCATGGCAGTTCAAAACTATGTTATGAAAATTAAGACTTTTCTACATCAAATCATTTCATTTGCCAGGCCTCATATATTTTTAGATTATTCACACAAAATTAGTACAGTGCGTAAACATTAAAAGGAAATAAGCGGCACAGTAGCCCCAACAAACAAGGACAAAGGATAAAATAAGATATCAAAAATAGCTGCTATTATTGAAATTTATACAAAAAGTCCTTGAAAAAGTAAACTCTTCTTTAAATAAAAGACGGTTATGTATATGAAAATCAAGAATGTAATGAAAATACAAAAAACATAGAAGAAGAAAACTATATTTGTTATTACGACTTACTTTTACATGTAGAATAATTTCCTTTCCTGTTACTGTACTACCCCATCTATCCTAGAACAAATTTTTAGGTTAAAATTATTTATACAAAACTAATATGTATACGATTATTTTCATTTTATAAAATTGTATGTATAAAATATTTACCATCGCTAAATCTCTTTTTACAGAAACTTTGCAGATCAAGTTTCTAGTCAAATTTAATTCTCCACTTAGTACTCATTACCAAATAATGCTTGGTAAATTCAAAAATTATAACGTTCAGTAAATTTTTATACGATGTACACTCTACCTTGACTGGAATACAAAAAACGATTGAACAGCACCGATGTCTATGATAACAGTGAAGACAGAGGAGTAGTGCTGCCTGTTGATTGGCTACGCTTCAGGACTACAGGTGGAACATGTACACGATCATTGCGCAAAATCTTGTGTTACCTTGTGGTATACATGTAAAATCTAGATGTGATTCTTTTGCTAATTTTCCATGGTTGTACTTCAATTTGAAGATTAATTAAATAAATGTTTAGTAACGATTTTAATACCGGAAATAACGATTATTATACTCCGAACTTTTATATAGTTACAGTATAGTAAAAAATGTAAAATACATGTATGTGTTATGTACAATGGCTCTCGAAAGAATTTAAACGCTCGCTACTGAAACTTTAAAGATATAGATATATATAAAGATAAAGATGCGCGCGCGCGTGTGTGTGTGATGCACTTGATATTTCAAAATATTCTCATAACTACAGCAAGGTACAGATATCAAGATTATGCGTGTAAAATTTGAATTCGATAACATTTGTAGAAGTTAGAGAATATTCATTACAGGAACACGCAAAAACAGTGTTATAAACGTTTCTCTATTTCCATCTCTTACCACATTATTTCTATTTCTTACCTCATACTAATATCTAGTTCCGTCGTGGCTTGCCTCGAATAACATCTCTAGGACAGTTTTTTATACTGTGTTTTAATTTTTGTATAATATTTATGTCAACATTATTTCATACGTAAATAATTGTTATTTTGTCATATCGTTTCCTTATTTATTTCACAATTATTTAATGTTTTACCCATTCCATCCCATATATATAATATTGGGTTTATATGTTGGGTCTGTGGTGGCCTGTATTGTACAGTATCCATTTTTTTACAACCCAGGTTCAATGTTTCGGATCAATATCCTGTTGAAAGTGAGGATTATGTATTTTTAGCATTTTACTTCAGATTTTTCTTTAATATGTTCAAATACTTATATTGGTCTAAAATCCAGTTTATAAATACTAAGTTCTCATTATCATTGGATGCCATACAGCTCCATGACAAAACCACTTTCGTGTTTTATCGCCGGGAGTAAATTTCGTATTTCTATTTTAGTATTGGCTTTTCTCCACACATAATTATGCTCATCAGACTGAAGAATATTGAATTTGTTAAGTTGATATGATCGCTAGTTCCTACCAGCGAAGTTGGCACGACTCCTAACGACACTCTTTTGTCTTAGGAGTCGACCACGTGTTAAATATCTAAGTGCATCCGATGTGTTCAGACGTTTGTATGAGGTGGTGTAATATAGAAAGTAAAATCCAATCTGAGTGAATCCATTAAATATCAACCCCAAACCTATATTTAATAACATAATTTACTTTCACTGGAAAATATTTCAGTATTCTAGAAGCTATTGTCTGTAGTAATATACACTCCTCGTCAAAGAGATTGTCCAGTGTGAGCTATCTTTAATTTCTCAATGATGCGTGTAAAATTTTTCGTCTGTAACGTATAATATTAAAACATTATGACCTCAGGATATGCGGTTCGTTGAAAACAATTAAAAATATTATGAGGTTTAGTGTATAACAAAAAAAATTGTTCTATTTTAAGAACGAAATGATAGCACATGTAGAAAATAATAATCAACATAAATTGTAACTAACAATAATTGCTTATCAAACGTATATACTTATTTAATAATGGGTACATCCCCCTTTATTTTCTATTACTTCTATTGTACGATTTACTATCGATTTATATAGTTTCTGGATGTAATTTTGACTTAACGTATCCCATTCGCGTACAATTGCACTTCTTAATTGTTGTACGTGTTGATACTGCTTTCCATTCGCGTATACATCGTGAACAAGTTCTGCACATCAATTTTCAATAATATTAAGGTCCGGGAAGCTTGCAGGCCACGAAAAAATAGATATATTTGTCGGAGATGAAAGAAAAACCGGAGCCTTCCCTTTGCAATTTTGGGAAAGTCTTCTAATGCTTTAGCCTAGATTTTCTCATA